GATCCTTGGCCGCCGGGGGCATGATGTCCTTGTCGGGGAAGTGCAGGGGCTCGCTGAGGATCTTGCGGTACATCTCGTTCGTGTTCTCGTCGTAGAACGGAGGGAGGCCCGTCAACATCTCATACAGTAGCACTCCAAGCGTCCACCAGTCCACCGTCTTGTTGTAGCCGTTGCCCATGAGCAGCTCCGGGGCCAGGTACTCGGGGGTTCCGCAGAACGTGTTAGTCCGGTCCTCGTCCTTCATATCCAGCTTGCAGAGACCGAAATCACACAGCGCAATATGGCCTTGGTAGTCGAGAAGGATATTCTCGGGCTTGAGATCGCGGTAGATAACGTTGAATCCGTGGAGACACTCGAGGGCACAGAGAAGCTCGGCCGTGTAAAATCGACTGCGGTGAACATCGAATCGCTGCTCCTTTTGCAGATGGTGGAAGAGCTCGCCGCCGTTGACAAAGGCGAGAACAAAATAGAGTTTCTCGGGGCTCTGGAAGGTGAACTTGAGCGGCACGATGAAGGGGTTGTTAATCTGCGCGAGGACCGACCGCTCGGCGAGGGTATGGGCGACTTCGGATCTCGAAATGATGTGCGCCTTGCGGATTGTCTTGAGAGCGTAAATTCGGTTGGTGTCCTTCTTGCGCACCTGCATCACCTTGCCGAAGCTGCCCTTGCCCACCACCTTGAGCAACTCAAAGTCCTCAATCTTGAGCTTGCCGGCCCGGTTCTCGACGTACGCGACGCCAACCTTGATCATGCCCGTTCCGTTCTGGATGTTGATCCACTCGGCGCCGCTCTGGCCCATCTGCCGTTCTCGGTTCGCAAACTCGGTCGCCGCCTTCTCACGATCCTTCTTGCTGGCCTTGGGGTCCTCGACAAACTGCGTCTTCTCCTCGAATCGGGGGTTGATGCGGGCCGAGCCGAGGCAGATGTCCTGACTTCTCCCCGAGCCCGGCGGGGCAGCGGGGTTTCGGATGTAGAGGTGAACCGTGAGTTCCGACACGCGCGACACGTCGAACTTGTACTGTGTGTTGGAACCGGCCCAGAAGGGATTCTCGGGGGTGCCCTCAACCGAGTTGACAAAGACCTGGACCTTGTCAAAGTCGATCAGGGCATAGGGCATGAACTTGGACGAAATGCGGCCGTGATTGGTAGGCAGGCCGCTGAATCCGCCCGAGGTCTGGGGTCGCCCTCCGCCGCTCATGAAGTTGCTAGCTCGGGACGACGACCCCGGCCGCATGGAGCCAGCCATGCTGCTGAGCACATTCCCGGCCGAGTGCGAGTTCGCCGAGTGACTTGTGTTAAAAGCTCCTCGGTGTCCCTCGGGGAGCGAGAAGCCCTGGCCTTCGAAGAGGGTGACGACGAGGATGCCGGGCTTCGGGGTAATCACGGGCGCTTGGGTCAAGGCTTCGGAGGCGGCTGCGGGGAACCGAAATGTTAGCGACCGGCAACCAGAAAAGGGGGTTATGGGACGTTGTCACTCACCGATGGCATTTTCGCCGGTCGGGGTGGCTGATTCGGCAAGGCCTCCGGGGCTCTTGTCCTTGTCTGTGATGGTAGAGGTGGAGGGGGAGCGCGAGAAAGTGCTGGTGAGGGGTCCCAAATGGGTTTCCTTCAACTCTGCCCGCCATCGTCTGTCAGCAGGTATTCCCAACCCAAAAGGCGCTCGATGCAAGGCCTGACGCGCTGCTCCGGTGCCGGGCCCCTTGGTGCCGGAGATGCTGGGGGAGACAAACTATCATTGCTGGAAAAGAACCTACTCTTGGTGAGTTTCCACGACATTTTGGGCGTGGAGCGAGGTGCTGTGCCGCGGGGGAGGGAGGAATGCAGATGCAGCGGGCGCCCAAGGACGGGAGTCGGCGACGGGTATCAAGCCAAGGTTCTAGGGTACGAAGGAAAGAAAACAGCTGTGCCCAAGGGGCAGGTCGATGTCGATGTCGATGGCGAGGGCGAGGGCGCGCGGGCTGCCGACAGATCAACTGTTGTGGGCGAAGAGGGAACTCGGAGGGAGGAGAGGTTGACGAGTCCAAGGTCGGACTGCGGCGACGGTCTGTCAGGTCGTTGGGAAGACGGTCCGGGTGGAGGTGGACAGTGGAGGGTGGAGGCGAGGGGACCAGGGGCGGGTGTTTCCAGCGCGCAACAGCGAGCCCCGCAGTTGTGCAGCGGTCAGCAGTCTGGGCAGCGCCGACTCGGAAAACCACAGCACCCAATCAGGCCTGGAACGATGAACCGTTTTCGTTGCTTGTTTGCCTGCTAGCGCGAGACCTCGGCCATTCCGAAACCACGCCCAAGATTGGGGTTCCAGGGCCTGTAGCCCCAATATTCAATGTATCTCGCTAACGGAGAGTCTGGGGTCACCTTGGGGTTTCTTTCCCTCTGTCCAAACAACAACCTCATCTTCACATCCATGTTCATTCACCACGTGGATGTCTTTATGACATGGATGGGAAATACGGCAACGCTATTTTGGGTTCTTGTGCTCTCTCACTTGCTACCGACGAGTCTCCCGTCTGCATGGACACTGCATCTTTACGAAGTACCCCCGTTCCAACTCCTCGAGGGGAAACAGACATTCTCGTCCCAACACGCAACGACACCCTCGCGTGGGACACAATGACGAAACAACCGCTGAAAATCCGACCGGCATTTCCCTGTCCAGCATAGTCAGGTTCTCCAGCATATCGAGGGCAGCCGAACATCCACGGGACTGATAAACCTGGCCATCCCAGACATTATCGGACAGGGCTGAAATGGAGGCTACGAGACAACGTCAACGACCTCGATGAATCGATACCCTTTTACTTTGAACATAAGCAGCCAACCGTCGACATATCCCATACGGATACTGCTGGCGTCTCCGATGCAAACGTCAAGCACAGCCTCATTACACACCTCTTCCCCCACCAGCTCTCTCACAAGACCATGTCTGCATGTGAGGGGGCGAAAATAGGGGGATTATCGCGCTGCTCCGCCCCGGCCCCTGAATGCCGTATCCCGCCACAAAGAAGCCCGGGAACCCGGCCAACGCTGTTTTCTTAGCTCCCAAGATGACAAACTCCCCCCTTTTTCAGATCTATCCGTAATTCGACATGTCATCTTCCAACGTCTTGTCCCTACAACCCCCTACTCATGACAAAATCCGCCGCTTCGTCCACATCCATTGCATAGTCCAAATGCGAAGAGCGAATCAGGTCCCCTCCCCCGCAGATATCATCTGTATCGTGACAAATGACCAGCTGTCTCGATGCGGGAATGCCCGCCACCAGCGCCGGGTATTTTGGGTCGCCGAAAATCACCGTCGAGCTGACTCTGGCAAGAACTGACGATGGCAAGAGGCTGGCGGTGTTGTGTACGACCTGGCCGCCTTGAGAGTATCCAGACAAGACGAGGTTGGTGTTTGGGCAGCCTCCCAGAAGCCGACTGACGTCCAACGCCCTGTCCCCTGGTTGTCAGAACACACATCTGTTTCGGGAGAGCTCCGGGGAGGACTAACATCTGCTGACTACCGAGCGGATCCCCGCCCTGGAGGAACCCGGGGATGCTCGCGGGATAGTTGACCCCTTGTACCGCCAAGGTCTTCCCAACCGCGAGCCGAGCCGCAACGGCATCGAAGAACTCGGGGCCGACGAGGACACCTACATTCCCTGCCTCGTTGGTCCCGCGGGCAAAGACGATGGTTACGTCGGCACAGAGGGTTGCATCTCGGGTCGGCGAGATGTCCCACACGGCCGCGATGAAGTTTTGCGCCAGGAGAGTGAGGTCTGCTGCGTTCTGGACGAGTACGTCGAACGGGAAAAGGACGGCGAGCTGGGCGAGAAAGGCGTTGAGAGACACGGTGCTCGAGGGGGACCTCGAGTAGAGAGGCGCGTCATCGTGGACAGAGGGAGAAACCGAGGCGTCCAACGCTGCGATATTCGATACCGGCACCGCGGTGGCTGCCACCAAGGCGCCGATAGCCCAAAGAAGGAAGATATGTCTCATCTCTGGCGGGTTGCGGATCAAGAGGAATCGACTCAAGTGAGGGCTTCTGGTCCTCCCCAGCGTCCTTGCCAGCTACCTATATATCACTCCCGCATCGCAGCACCGGCACGGTCATGGAATCGGCCATAGCAGACAAACACCATCTCCCCCGGCCGTCGCGATGAGCAACACCATGGGACCGGCCTCGGACCAGCACAATCTGTGATCAAGTCTACCTACCACATCACAACAACAGGGTTACGGGCGCACAGCCAGCCGTACCACGCCATGTGTAGAATCGCCGGGCTAGTACGAGACAAGTCACCGGAGCAGGGACACTCACCTCGACAGGGTGTCCTTGACTCTACATCAACAATCTCACCAGGGCAGCAAACAACACCACAGCAAACTCAAACAGACGCACGTCCCGAGACTCCCATATAGACATGAGACACAATATTGGGCCGCTCGACAAGACATACATACCCCAGACTCCGCCTTCCAAGGGTTCAACTCTTTATTTACACATCCACTGTTCGGAGCCCTCCGCCCTCAACCCCAGGCTTGTATCCGTCAACGCCCAGAGCCACCTGCCTACCTAGGGAACCGCTACTTTCCATCCACGATCCCAACACACGGTGTAGCGATTGTACACTCTTTCCCAAGATACTCTCGTGGGCCACTACCACGCGCATCGTCTCCAGTCCCTCTTGGATGCACAGGCTCTGAAATGTTCTACAAGAAAGAACAGAGATGTCCATGGTAACCAGGGGGCTCATGATCTTAAAAACTTACCTCGTAGATCCCATCCGGTCTCTGCTCCGTCGCACGCCTGGCACTACCCTCGGCTCCCGCCGGGATAAGAAAAAGACGCCGAATTGAACAACGGTACGAGGACAAAAGATTCTACCCACCACCCGCCCGAAAAAAACACGAAGCCATCACCAAACCCAGGGATACCTTGACTTTGGCAACCCCCACCCCCCCACCCCGGCAAACCTAATCCCGCAATACCGCCCCATCCTCCCATCAACAAAATACCTCACGGGGGTGTGGCTCAGTTGGTAGAGCGTTCGCTTAGCATATCTGCTTCGAGTATATGCGAAAGGTCCTGAGTTCGATTCTTAGCTCCTCCAAATCACGGTATTCCAGATCATCTGGTCAATCTCATATTTTTGCTGTGTTTCTTTTTGACCTTCAATTTTCAGTCCACCCATGGGAATGCCGATTGGGGGGCGGAGGACAGTGAAGCGAACTCGACCCCCGTGACGCCCTGTCCCTGCCAGCAGCCGCCAGACAAACCTGCTGCTGCTGGCCCAGATTGATATAACGTGATGGCTATATGCCGTCAGGTAGCCAAGTGCTGCTGCATGCAGGCGGGCTGGGCGAAACCTTTTGCTCAAGACAGGCCATGCATCACGCAATGGGCGAGGGGCGGCGGCGCAGGCGGCCATCCGTGTTACCGACGGCGGCAACAAGGGTGGTGGGATCCCGTCCTGGCAGGGAGGAATCGAGGAGTGAGCTATGGGTTAGGTTGGTGTGTTATCGAAGTTGGTGGTGTTCCTGCTTTCTTTGCTGGAAGAGGGAAAGGGGGGGGGCAGTGGTGGGAAAATTGTTAAGTGATGAGAGCATGCCAGGGGGGGTCAATGGGTCACCTCATCTGTCGGTTCAAAGACCAAAATACATGACCGAAAGAAACCGCCAGACAGTTCTGTGGCCACCGGTTATACACGCACACACACACGAAAGAGACCTACTTGGCGGTTCCGCGTCCCAGCATACGTGGGAAAGCACCGAAAGCCGCCCCCCGGCCGAAGTGATTGAGCCGCTGCAGTCCCGGGGGGCGCAGACCAATGGGGTATCGCGGCCATCTCAACCCGCACTCTGTCAACTCCCGGACCGGTTGAAGTTGAGGTCACCTCCATCCTTGTTACCCGGCCCCCAGACGCTGCGAGCAGCGAATACTTGGCACTATGTTACCGTCTGCAAATCTTATGCCTGCCGTCCCCAGGTTTGGTTTAAACCTTGGTCGCGTTCATAGGCGGGAGTCGGGAGCCCGTTGGCGGGGAAGGGGGACATGGATAAACACCATGGCAGAGACCGATCGCCGGTGACACCTCTCCTGACGGACCCCAAGTTGTCTCCCCCCCCCCCCTCCACAACGACGCCTAGCATGCGGTCGCGCCGTCCGAGGAGCGCGCATCTCTGAGAGCCAGTCTGTCCACCATGATGGAGCCATCGCCCACCTGGAAGGATGAAGCTGGATATCGGGCGGCCGCTCCTGAGAAACCTCTCAAGCCCTTTGTCCAGCTTCATCCCATCGTCCTCCACCCCATCGTCCTCCCGCCTCGAAAACCCGCACACGAATACAAGCCGGCAGCGCTTCGATGGCCTTTCCTGACAGGCACCGCGGCGACCCTCCTGGTCTTGGTCGGAGTCGTGGCGGCGGCTTGCCTGGCCCTGCCCGCCGAGACAGACCGCTCCGCCATCTCGAGGGTGGGCACCCAAGCGACCAACACATCGTCAAACTCCTCGTTGAGCCGCCGACAAGCCTGGTCAGACTGGGGCATAGGCATGGGCAACGATTGCCAGTGCGACATGCCAGCATTGTTCGGTACCGCCGCCTGCCAGAAAAGAAGGAAGCGACAGGCCAGAAGCGACAGTATCTGGCCTTTCAAGGAGGGGGGAATCAGGAACACCAAGCGGGCGTGTCTGTTCGATGCCTCTTCCACAACACCGGCACCTCTTGACCCAGGGGATGGAGACCTCGACGATGAGAAGCACGCAGACCTCGGTGCGTCGCTTGTATCATCCGCGCCGCCGCAAGTGAGGACAACAACCGCCGAGGTCGCCATCACAACTGCCCCGCCCCCAGAAGCATCGAGCGAGCCCCCTCTCGTGCTCCCACTCGGCGGGGGGATGGATGGCGTCCAGATTTCGATTCCCTTGCCCAGCAGCGTGACTGCCGTGCCCCTGTCAGCTGAGCCAGTTCCACCACCACCACCATCCCCGTCAGCAGCCCCGGGACCGACCCCCGCTCCGGCACCGGCTACCTCGCCATCTCCGGCACGTCCTCCCGCGCCCCCACCAAAGCCAATACCGTCGAGTGCAATACGTACCAGGCTGGAAGTCGAAGAACTCGTTTCCGTGTCTGCGACAACGTCAGTTTCGGTCGTCCTCAACGCGAGCGGATCCCCAATCGCAACCATGACGAGTGTGGTCATCGCCACCGTCACACCATCATACATCACGCCGTCGGTGATAAAACTGACAGACGAGCGGGGAGTCGTGACGGCGACTACAACCATGACGCCACGGCCCATCATGATACCGACCGTCATGACACTGACGGGGCCGAACGGCGACGTGACGGGCACCGTCGTGACAAACGTCTTGGCCACGCCGAGGGTCGTGACCTATACCGACTCCCGGGGCGCGCCGACGACCGTGACCGAATATCCCACCTTCCCCACGGGGACGGCTGGCCCGGGAAGCCCCGACAAGGTCTACCAAGTTTCCCACGGCGCCTACTTTGTTGGCCTCTTCCTGCCGACCATCATCACCAGCTTGCTCACCATCCCCATCCGGATGATCGACATGGGCGCGAAGCAGCTCCAGCCGTGGCATGAGCTGACCAGGCCCAACGGCGCAAGTGCTGCCGAGTCCCTGTGCCTGAAGACAGGCGGGCTGTTCGGTATCCGTTCGGGCATCCGCGCCGTGATGCGAGGGCAGGGGCTGATCCTGCTGACGACGTTGCTGATCCTGTGCTCCGTCGCCCTGGTGCCGCTTTCCGCCGAGGCCATCGCCCTCAAGGTGCATGGGAATTGCACCGAGACCGATTTCCGGGGTTGCGCCATGACGCTCGGGGTGTTCCTTGGACCGGCCAAGGCCTTGATCGGGCTGCTGGTGTTTATGGCGGTCCTCGTCGTGGCCATCCTGGTCATTCTCAGCAAATGGCGCTCTGGCGTGGCGGCGAACCCTTGGACAATTGCCGGCGTGTCGTCGCTTTCGATGAACGAGGATTTCAGGGCCCTTTTCGCCTCTCTCCCGAGGGGAATCACAGGAGGCATCGATCGAAAGAGGCTCCTCGAGGCCTTTGAAGGCAAGGCGTTTCGGCTGGACTACTTTACGGGCGAGAACGGGACGCCCGAGTACGGCATCGTGATCCAGCGCGAGGTCGACGGGGCCGGGCCGCGGAAGCCCGGCATCAAGGAGAGCATATACGCCAGGATGAGCCGGTGGGAGACGCACAGGCCGAGGGACGGGATTGAGAGCGTGCGGAGGGAGCATCATCTGCCCTTTCTGATGCTGTCGTACAGGTGGCGGGTCGTGTTTTTGGCCTTTGTGACCTTCCTCTTGGTCGTGGTGATATACTACGCCCGAACCAACCGCGACACCCCATTCGAGAGGTTCATGGATGCGCAGGACTTTGGGGTGACTGCCCTGTTTGCCTTGATAGGCATCGCCGTCACCTTTTACTGGGGTTCCTTCTTCAACAGTAAGTCTTTTGCGAGGAGCGGCAGATGAGCGGGGAGAGGGACTGACAATATCCAGGTCTGGCCATCCTGAGCCCGTACCATGCCCTCGCGCAGGGCCCGCAGTCTGCCGAGAGGTCGCTGCTGCTGTCGTCACCACCGCACGCGGTGGCGGGCATGGGCATCTGGAGCGCCATCCAGCGGCGGCAGTTCTTTCTCGCCGTCGTCGGCTTCACGTCCATCGTGTCCGAGTTTATGCCCATGCTGCTCAGCAACGTGCCGTTTCAGATCACGCAGACGGCTGCGGCGCACGATGCGTGCATGTGGCTGACGGTGACGTCGCTGCTGCTGATGTGGGTGGTGGTGGTCTGGAGCTTCTTCGTGACGTGGCCGCACATGCCCGTCGACCCGAGCACGATTGCGGGCGCCGTGTTTTACGTGCACGACTCCAAGATGCTGGCGGGATTCGAGGGGCTGAGCGTGCTGCCAAAGGACGAGAGGGACGGCAGGGTGGGCGAGATGGGGGCCAAGTACCGCTTTGGCACCATTGTGGGCGAGTCGAGGGGGAGGAGGGTCGGCGTGGACTGGGTCGAGTACCGCGGCGACAGGATGGATGACGTGCAGTATTTCATCTAGCGGAAGATTATAGAATATAGGAGGGGATGGAAGATGAAGACGAAGACGCATTAATGCCCCGCTAGGTAGCATAGGGAGTCGGTAGGGACGTCAAGTTAAGGTTGCATTTCTGGGACCATGGTGTGTTTTTCCCCTGCATTCCCATCGCCCCCTGCAGCCCGCCCTGTCGGCAGCTGCCGGCCGCCTGCACCCGGCAGGCATAGGCCCCTGCAACTTGACCACGGCTTCTGAAGCTCAATGACCTCGACCCAACTCCAACCTTGACCAAACACTTGGTCTTGAACAGCTCTCTCCAGCCACCCTCTCATCCCGACGGCATTACAGCACCCCTTACACGATTACACGATAGTCTTTACTCATTCTTCAGCCAATTTTCCACCCCCAATTCCCGAATCGCCGCTCCCGCCCCCCTCCCACCGTCGCATCGACCGAGGCATCTTTGACACCAAGTACACATACCTCCCATGGGAAAATAGGATGGCAAGCAACGACCATGATACTGGGCCAGGCCATTGCCCGGGGGAGGCCGAGGATCCTCCCACGCGCCACTACCCGCTCGACATCCCGCACTTGCGCTTCTTCAGATACGAACATCACCTCGACACGCGCGATATCATGGCCCACCGGATCATGGCCGATCTCATGAACCCCACACGCGTGCCCGTAGCCACCTACGCGACACCTGTCAAACATCCGGCCGAGTTCAACGCCATCTCGACCCAGGACAAAATGCTGGGGGCCGACCTGCGTTGTCTCCAGAAGATGCTTTTCACCACCTATGTCAACAAGCCGTCGGAAAAGGTTAATGGACTTGTACTCGGAGCGAACCCGCCTCCCACTCTGGAGGACCAAGCCGTGGACCTCGTTAGTCGATACTACTTTGAAAGAGACAGCGCCCCATTGCGCGCCTGGATGGCGCACATAGCCCCAGGTCGGTCGACGACTGGGTCGCGGTCGACGACTGGACTTCGCAACTATGGCTTTTTCATGGTAAATGGGGGGAATGGATGGTGCATCTTCACGTT